AAGTATTGATAGAAAGCGGGAAAAAGAGATAGACATGGAGGACGAATGGGAGAAAAAGAAGGAAGAAGACGATAAGAGATGAGGAGAGATAGAAAGAGCAGAAAAAAGGAAGGAGGGAACTAAAAGGTAGAAAATGTTGGGCCCCCCCCCCCCCCCTCGCCACCTGAGCGGCCGGCTGCGCGAGTGTGTGCGTGTGTGGCGTGTGCTGCTTTGTGCTGGCGGTGCGCTCTTGTCACACATGCTTGTGTCGCAGGGGATCTACATTGCGCAAGAGCTGTGGAAGCCTGTCGTACGCGAGCACTTCAAGGCGAAGGTTCGTCAGTTCAAGAACGAGGGGGGTGCGACGGCGCACGCCCACCTCGAGGCGCTCTTCGGAGAGAGCACCTTCGGCGCACGCGAAGCTGGCGGGTACGACCGTGGCGTGCACAACGTCGGCGGCAGCCTCAACACCCCGAGCACGCGTGGGCGTCAGGTCAGCTCCTTCCACCGGCGCTCACGCGCCAGAGACAGCCACCGTGCGTCCTATGTGTCGGTGTCGGCGTCCGCTCGAGGCTCGGCGGCCTCCATCTCTCAAGCGGACGCCATTCCAGGGGCGCGTCCGGCCGTCCGGGCATCCGAGTGTTCGTGCGCGCAGGAGCCGACCATCGCAACCATCCATGAGGGCTCGGCGGAGAATGCTGAGCCCTCCAGCCTCGAGCTTCAGATCGCGGAGACTCCCTCCAAGCCCTGACGATGCGTCGTGTGCCTCTATAGCGTGCCTCGCGCCCGCTGCTCGGGGCCCGCGCGTCGTCCAGGCAAGACGAGATACTCACAGGGTCTGGATGAGGACCCGAGCCGAGTGTGTGCTCTGGCCTTGGTCGGCTGGCTTTGGCGCGGAGGATGTACGGCTGTGCGCTTGTTCTTTCTTCGGAAGAGGACGCTGCGCCGCGCGTAACCTCTGGTAGCGGCGAGATAAAGTGCTTGCTTTTCTATTACCGCCAGGTACCAAAGTATACTCCTTTCCCGTCCCGGGTATTCCGTCCATACTCCGCGCGCCCCGCGGTGCCGTCTCCATACTCCGTCCGGCCGTAGAGAGCGCCCTCGGGGCCGCCCGATGGTTCCCTGGGACCGCAACGGGTCCGCGGTGGTGGCCCTCAGCGGAGGTTTGTGCCGAAACATCCAAATTGGGCCTTCTTTGTCCTGTGCCGGCGCGTTCGCCGGCACCTGCACAGGAACGCGTGCTCGTCATGTCAGATTGCCTGGGATGCTGGACGCGCTAGAGGGCACGTGGCGAACGGGCGACGCGCGTGGGCTGCGCACGCGGGACCGAGGGGCAATGCTCGAGAGCTGCTGTGTGCTGCGGGCCAAGCTCGGGCTTGTGGTGTTCATGTACGTACCTGCCCACACGGGCAACTACCCGATCTCGACTACCCGACGCTGCCGCGAAGAGCCACCTCGACACCGCCGTCGACGCGACCATGGACCTGCGCACACGTGTGACGTCGCGGCCGTTGATCTACACCATGCGGTCAGACTTTTGGGCGGATGGCACGCTGCGCGGCAAGAGCGAGGGTGTGGGGGGGGCACCCGTGATGTGGGATCGCCGGCTATTTCCGGGTGTGCGCAAACGCGTGCGCCAAGCAGGACCAAGCAGTCCATGATGGCTGAGAGCCCAGCACGGGCGCTGCTGATGCTGACACGGATTTTTTTCGCCAGTCAATAGAGCATAAAACTACCTTTCAGAGTGGCTGGACGGCGCCGCGGCGCACACTGGTGGGCCGCGGAGCACACTGAGGGAGCTGTCCTCGGCGCAGCCGTTCGGCTCCCGCGGCCTGGGTGGTGGCAGTGGCACTCCCTGAGGCTCCCTGATTTTTTCTGGTATTTGTTGAGCACTCTCTGGTCACCTTCGCCGGGCGAGCCTGGCTCTCGCTGCGCAGCGGCGCGACCTTCGGTGAGGCTGCCGATCGTCGAACTGGGCTTAGCTCTCAGTCAAGATATTGATGGTCGGTCTCTACAATATCTTGACTGAGCACAGCCGATGAATCGGCAGCAGGGAGACAGGAGGGCTTGCTGTGTGAGTCGGCCACGGACTGTCGCGAAACCTGCCTGGGTTCGGAAGAGGTCTGTCTGGTATAGCCCCAGCCGACTCCGCGTGACCGCTCGAGGGATCTCGAGTTGCGGAGCTCTCTGCTCGGTGTACGAACTCTGTCACACCGAGCAGCTGGGAGTGGCAGATATGCCGAGATGCGCGATCTCGGGCCGCGCCGCGCAATCTCGGGCGATCTCGCGCTATCTCGGGCGATCTCGGGGCCGCGCCGCGCTATCTCGGGCGATCTCGGAGCGTCGCTCGCGCGGCGGCACACCTAGTTGCTCAACAAGCGGTCCGGTCGGCAGGTTTAGGGAAGGAGGGGACGTCGCGGCTCGCGCACCGCCCACCCACGCCGGCCCGCGAGGGCCGGTCGTCCATCGCCATGTCCCGGGTCGTCCAGCGTGGACGTGTCCCGGGGGAAACTGTGACTAAGGGCACCCCGTTCCTCCTCTCCCCGCACTCCCTCAAGCTGAGGGCTGCCAGGCCGCGGTCGGCCTGGGTCGAACAGGAAGGGACCAGATCGATAAGCTTCCACTGGTGCGAACAGGTACTAGACGTCGACCGAAGCCGCCTTCGCAGTATACCGCTGGGCCCCGCCCCGCTCAGCAGTACATGTAGAGCTGCCAGAATCAGCAGCATTCAATGAAGCGAGCGCCGCGCCTTTTGCCGCCGCGCGTCGCCGCTGCGCCGGCTGGCTCCCGGTTCGAATCGCCCTTCGCGGAGCGAACGCGGCGACGCGGGCGCGCGTCGCGCGCGTGCGCGCCCGCGACAAGACGAGAAGAGAAGGAGAAGTGGACGTTGATGTTTTTGCCGCTGCGGCCGCGCCGCGAGCTCGCGTCTGTTTTGGCGCCGACGCAGCGCCGCGTCCCGCTGCGTGAGATGGCGCCGCCGCGGGGCCGGCGCCGCGATGAACCGCGCGCCAGCGGCGTGCGGCGGTGCGGCGCAGCGCGACCATGCGGTGCGACGTGCCCGCCGCCGGATTTTTTTCAATCCCCCACAACAAGCGAGCTCGGCCGACGCCCTCAGGGTGCGGGGTCGCGCAGCACGACAGCACGAGGGGCTCTCCAACCGACCGACTCGCCCGCGGGATCGGGGTACCGGCGTACCGGGCGAACCTGCGGCCGGCCGTCGCTACGAGAGGCTCAATTCACCCTGCACACAGCTGGGACTCCCAGCGGATCTGACCTAAAGCGGTGGTGCCTTGTGTTCCGGCCTCCCACACGCCTCCCACCCGACTCGCGACTGCTCGTGCGGCACCGTCGCAGTCCGCACTTTTTTTCAACCACCACACTCACCCTCCCTTTGCGCAGGCCGGTCGGAGGCCGTCTGAGACCTCTCTCTCTCTCTCTCTGTCTGTGGACCGACCGCGCGCAGCGGCGGCCCTGCGGCCTCTGCGCTGTCGAGAGATAGCAGCTTGGCAGGCCGACGAGACAGCGGCTGGTCAGGCACGCCTCCCCGCTCGCAATCCACCAGACCCATTGATTGATTGATGGGAAGGCGAAACACAGTCCGACCAACGAGTGGGACACCAACGCGGTATGGGTGGACGCTGACCCCTCGCCGTCTGCGCCTACCCCAGGGAGCCGAACCCAGCGATGTGCAATCATTCATGGAGTGCAATCATTCATGGAGCTGTTCCGACGCGGCCGTGCTAGCGGCTGAGCGAGGCGAGGAGAAGGCGGTGCTGGCGTGGCTCGAGGGCGGCGGGCGGGTCAACGCGACGTACGAGAGAGGCGGCGAGAGCGGCCTCACGCTGCTGATGGCCGCCGCCCAGGAAGGCCACGAGCGGGTGGCCGAGCTGCTGCTGCAGCACGGCGCGGAGATCAACCTGAAGAACAGCGAGGGCGCCACCGCGCTGATGGCCGCCGCCGACAACGGCCACGAGCGAGTGGTCAACCTGTTGCTGCGGCACGGCGCGGAGGTCAACCAGCAGAACAGCGAGGGCGTCACCGCGCTGATGGGCGCCGCCTTGTACGGCCACGAGCGGGTGGTCGAGTTGCTGCTGCAGCACGGCGCGAAGATCGACCTGCAGAGTAGCAACGGCGCCACCGCGCTGATGGCCGCCGCCCAGGGAGGCCGCGAGCGGGTGGTCGACTTGCTGATACGGCGTGGGGCGGAGGTCAACCTGCAGAACAGCGACGGTTGGAACGCGCTGATGGGCGCCGCCCTCTTCAACCACCCCGCCGTCGTGCGGCGCTTGCTGCGGGCGGGCACAGACGCGGCGCGCACTGTCAACGGCAAGACGGCGCAGCAGCTGGCCAAGGGGGAGGGCCACGACGAGTGCGTCAAGGTCTTTGCTGAGGTGGCGGCGGCGGCGGAGGGCCGGGCAGGGGCCGGCGCTTCCTCGGGCGCGGCAGCGGCAGCTGTGGACGCGCCGCTGCTTGGGAAGCGAGTCGTGCTCGGCGGGCTCTCGGCCCGCCCCGAGCTGAACGGGCAGCGGGGCGTGGCGCGGAGCTTCGAGGGCGGGCGGTATGCTGTGGCGCTCGAGGGCGGCGGCGAGAGCGTGCGGGTGCGGCCGGGTAATCTGTCGCCAGTGGCGGCGGAGCGGGCGTCGAGCGGTGCCGCGGCAGTCTCCGATGAGGTCATCGCAGCGGCTCACCGAGGCGAGGAGGAGGCGGTGCTGGCGTGGCTCGAGGGCGGAGGGCGGGCCGACGCGACGTACGAGAGAGGCGACGTGAGCGGCATCACGCTGCTGATGGGCGCCGCCAACAACGGCCACGAGCGGGTGGTCGAGCTGCTGCTGCGGCACGGCGCTGAGATTGACCTGCAGAACAACAAAGGCGGCACCGCGCTGATGGGCGCCGCCGGCAACGGCCGCGAGCGGGTGGTCGACTTGCTGACACGGCACGGCGCGGAGGTCGACTTGCAGGACAGCGTCGGCCTCACCGCGCTGGTGTACGCCGCCCTCTTCGGCCACCCCGCCGTCGTGCGGCGCTTGCTGCAGGCGGGCGCAGACGCGGCGCGCACTGTCAGCGGCAAGACGGCGCTTCAGTGGGCCAAGAAGCAGGGCCACGCCGAGTGCGTGCGCGCCCTCGAGGAGCACTCGTCGACCGCAGCAGAAGCGGAGGGGGAGACGACGGTCGCAGAATCAGCCGAACTGGCCGCGGCGGCCGCACGCGAGGCTGCAGCGGCTGCGGAGGCGGCGGAGGCGCGCGATGCTGCCGAGGCGGCGCTGCGCGAGGCGGTTGAGGCGTGCGAGCGAGGCGACGCCGATCTCGAGGCGCTCAGGGCGGCGATCAACGCAAACACCGAAGCCGCTGACGGTTCGGAGGCGCTGCGGGCGGCGCGGCGGCTGCGCGACGAGCTGGCGGAGCGAAAGGTCCGCGAGGCCAGGGCGCTGAAGCGGCAGCGGCAGAAGGAGGAGAAGGCGGCGGCGGCGGCAGCGCGGGCGGCGGAGCGGGCGGCGGAGCAGGCGGAGGAGGCGCGGGCGGCGGAGGAGGCGCGAGTGGCGGAGGAAGCGGATCGGGTGGTAGCAGAGGCTGCGGCGGCGCGGGCGGCGGAGGAGGCGGAGGCGGCGTCGCGCGCAAGGGAGGAGGCAGAGGCGAGGGCAAGGGAGGAGGCGGCAAGGGAGAGGGAGGAGGCGAGGATGAGGGCGGCGGAGGAGGCGGAGGCAGCGGCGGAGGCGGCGGCTGTAGAGGCGGCAGTGGCGGCAGTGGCGGCGG